GCCTCCCGCTTCAGACTGTAAATGTGGGCTGCTGTAATATATCCAAGCACCTCGCAGAGTACCTGGTATATAGTCGTCACTTAATGAATGTCTGTCGAATGAATGAATGTCCTTGGAGGAACATGTTGGGGACTGTGGAAGGACAGGAGATAGGAATTGGGGGCTTGACTCTCAGGGTTTCCTCTGGTTTAGCCTTGTGGTCAAAGACTGGAAAATCCTTTTCAGGTATTAGCTCCTTATCTGTCGCATTCACAGGTCGTAACTAGGTAACTAGCTGTGTCCTTCCCGCCACTGCCAATGTGGTGTGGCCCTTCTTAGAGATGATGATGACTCACATGTTTTGGATGTACTGTGAGTACCCCACCTGTATTATGCCATTTAAAACAACTCAATAGATAGCTATTGCTATCATTTCCCATTTTACAGTTGAACGGACTGAGGCACAGAGAGGTTAAATAGCTTGTCCAGGATTGCAGAGCTGGTAAGAGGTAGACGTGTGAATATGAATATGGGCAGTCAAACCTCAGAGTCTGCATTCCTAACTAACGTCTGGTCCAGCTAGCCACGTGGCTCTGTACCTGTACTCTCTCCCAGATTGACCTCATCCAATCCCATGGATTTAAATATTGTCTATGTCCTGGCCACACTTACTTTGTATCTCTGGCCCAGGCTGCTCCCCTGAGCTCCAGACTCATTCATCTACACACAGGACATCTTCTCGTGACCATCACAAACTTACTTAGCATTTCCTAAACTGAGTTCATGATGTACCTCCATGCCCCTGCTCCCAGACCCTTTTCCAGCCATGGTTTTGGGGGTCGTGAGATGGAGAGATGTGTGCATCTACACGTCTCTGAGAGGTGGGTTGCTTGCGTTAGATAATGGCGTGCTATTTATTCTTTTTCGTACTGTTGCCTTATCTAACCTTCAGGTCAAGGACCATGATTTATATATCTTTGCATTCCCAGCATCTAGTGCATAGAAGGTGTTCAATATGTTCTTGTTGAATGAACAAGAGAGAAGGAATGTTTTCTGTGACTCTTACCTATTTCTACTCCAGGTGTTTTCCATGCTCCTTCTTAATTTCTCCAATCATTCTTCTAAGGAGATTTTCCAGACTCCTCTAAATGGTCATTTTTCTTCTCCCCAGTGTTCTAACCTAAGGGATTTTTATTGCAGTATATTAATGAAACAACTTTATGTTTCAAAAAATTCATTTTTATTTCTCTTCATTTTGGCACTTGCACACTTGGATTTATGTGGAAAGGAATACTTAATAACAAGGAAAAACCTATTTAAGCACAGTAGCATAATCATTCAGCACTAGAGAAAAGAGTGATATATGAGCCATATAATTAGCAATCATCCGTTTCACATTTATTTGTCTGGGCTGAAGTTCAGCTTCTCCTTAAAAACAGAGTATAAGTAATAAGTCCCATACACACAGACACAGGTGTGCAAGCATGCGCACACACACACACACACGCGCACGCGAATAGACACTCATCATCATTAATGGGAATTCAATTAACATTTTTCTCAAGATTATCAAGATAATCTTAAATATAGCTTAATTTTCCCTCTTTGTTTTTGTTGCTTTGTTTTCTGAAATATGAAATTCTTTTCAGATTAGTTTGTATAAACTGATAAAGAATTCAGAGATTGTGTCTTCAATGCACATAAAAGCCATGGATTTATTTAAACCTCAGAGTTTCTCAGATAAAATTGACAAGGGAGTCAGGGGATGTGGCTGTGGACTCAGCTTTGCCTGGGATAAACTTTCAGTTTGGCTGTGGGTGATTTACTTGACTTAGTCTCTTCCTTCTTTAAGAAATTGAAGTAAGGCCTCTCTTACAAGTTTGAGAATAAGATGAGGTAATGTGTAAAGGTGCTTCTAAAATTATAAAGCACTAAAAAAGAGTGATGGTTTTATAATTATTGTTATAATTGAAATAATAAGAAAATGGAGTTATTTTTATCCTGCTGATTTAATCAAAGCAGTTGCTCTTTTACGCAGAAAATGGTTGAGATCCCACATTAGAAGTTTAGTTGACTCAGTATGTGTTCGGATAATGAACTTGGCTTTTCCAACACACAGAAGTATGGCACGTAAAACGTGCCCTAAATGGAATATAGTACTGTATTCTCCTTAATATTTTCATACATTCACGGGAGATCTACAAAATGATTATCCTTGCAATAGATTGTATATTTTCTGTAAAACTAGCAATCACAGTAATTCCATGAAGAGAGTATATTTTAAGATTATCCTCTATCTAAATCAAGGTTTGATTGATTCTGTAAATCAGTCACATTCCCATCTTCTTTATTTTGCACAATTTTACTCGTTCTCTCATGGGAATGTGAGAGAAGAAATAGCAGGAAGTGAGAACCTTGTCGGAAAGCTAGGTGAATTTAAACCATTCCCGGCATTACCATGAAACCTCCCAAGTGAGGAAGCTACAAAACCTTCCCAGACTCTGAAGTGTATCTTTAGTATAAACAAAAAGGCCCTTTTTTTTTTTTTTTTTTTTTTTTTTTTTTTTGCGGTGCGCGGGCCTCTCACTGTTGTGGTCTCTCCCGTTGCCGAGCACAGGCTCCGGACGCGCAGGCTCAGCGGCCATGGCTCACGGGCCCAGCCGCTCCGCGGCACGTGGGATCTTCCCGGACCAGGGCATGAACCCGTGTCCCCTGCATCGGCAGGCGGACTCTCAACCACTGCGCCACCAGGGAAGCCCCAAAAAGGCCCATTTTAAGGAAGAATAATCTTTCTTCTGCTTTTTAACTTAGAAAACTATATTATATATGGAAAAACAAGTGGCAGTCTTTTCCAAAGCACAAGAATGCTCAACTGATAAGCTTTGAGAACATCTCAGATCAAGGCATCAGCGCATCCACAGACATGAATGGGACACAGTGGAGTGTGTGCTATGTTTCTATATATTCCTGTATAGACATTGCCACCCATGGGCTCATTCACACTACCCCTGGCTACCTGGCTGTAAGCACCCAGTGCAGGGAGGTAATAGGTTACTAAACAGAAACCCAGTTTGTGCAAAGAGACACAGCCCTAGTCATTGCTTCTTCAGTGGTTGCTGGTGTGTTTGTTCCCTGCGGGGGCACCTTATTTGCAGTAACCGGCTATGTGGGCTCCAAGAGTCACTTAATCTTCATCACTTCTGGCTTCATAGGACTCCCAGCTTTCACTTGGGCCAGGACTATTCACATTTCACTAGACAAATATTGGTTGAGTGTACCGTCTATAGTAGGCACTGTGCTAGGCCCAGAGGATTCACCCATGAATAACAGAAACTTTCCTTGTTCTCAAGGGGCTTAGAGACAGGGGTCTGCTTATCCTAAGCTGAAAGATAAAACCTTATTTCAGCCAGAACTGCCAGAAAGTTTGATTTTTCTAACCAATATCAAAGGGTACCCCACCACCACCAGTGTGGATTTGAGCCTTGGCCCTCCTCCCCATGGGAAATTCAGCGTCACCAAAGTCCCTGAGAACATTGTAGTTGACACCAGCTTGATTTTCTTAACATCTTGAGGAGTTCTTATGAATTAAGCACACTATTTATAAGCCTAGCCAGAAGACCCTGAATGAAAATACAAGAGATGAATTACAATTGCATTTCAACTGCAATATAAAAACAATTCCCTGTAGTGCAAATGCACCCCAGCTAAAGCATAAAGTTGAGCTTTTTCTGTCAGCTGTGTAAAAATGTTGGCTTGTTTATAAATACTGTTATAGGGAGAGTTCAGCCACAAAGGCCTAACATATCTTAAACTACGAAATTTTAAATTGATACTCTTAAACTGTAAAAATTTAAATAGTATGCAGTTCAGAACGACTGTGTGTGAGAAGGATATTGACAAATAATTGGCCGTTTTGCTAATTTTAAACTGCTCTGGCTTTACTGTTTCTCATCTTTCTTCTACTTCCTTCCACAACTCAGCCCTCCCCCTGGGAAATGACTTCTGAAGGAAATCTCCTAATTGGAGATGTCCCCTTGGCCAGAGGCATAGACCAAAAATGTGTTGGGGGGTTAACAGAGTATGAAGCTCTAGTTTTACTTGCTTGTCTAAGTTCTGTGTTGATAAGAAGCCCCAGAGGAGGCAAAGGTCTGGGGCCGAAGAACACAGTCCTTTGAAAAACCCTTGCTGATACTGACCCAGATTTAAGACTCACATCTCTTAGGTCCCTTTATCTCCACCACCACCAACTATTGCTTTTGCCTGGATGATTGAGAGCCTCTCTCTTTCTCTCTGCTTTCGCTGTAACTCTCCCTTGTTGTTTATCCTCCACGCAGTAGCCACGGTGATCTTTGAACGCCTAAATCAAAATGACTTCCCCGTGGCCCTAGAATAAAGCTTAACCGTCTTGTTGTGGCCTGTGAAGCACTGCATGTTCCTGCCCACCTTTCCACCCTCTGCTCGCTCCAGTCTCCATGATTAATCCAGCCCAGCCCCTCTACTCGCCTTCCTGTCCCTTGACCATAGGACATACCAAGCTATTTCCCAACCTAGGGCCGTGGCACCCAGAACATTCATCCCATGCTCTTTATCCAACTGGCTCCTTCTCTATATCTCAGCTCACATGTCCCCTCCTCAGAGAGGACTTTCCTTGACCCTTTGCCCAAAGAAATGGGTACCCCACCCCAACTCTTCCTCCTAAGACTTTGTTGTCTTCAGAATACTCGTAGCTCTGAATCTGTCCCACTCTCTAACTTGTTTTTGCCCGTCTTCTTTTGTGTGTGTTTTTGCAGAATGTAAATGCCATGCATATCTCTTTTGTTCCTAAACTGGTTCTCTAGTGCCTGTCACACAGTGGTGTATTGGTTGAGTGGATATATGCACACATAAGGAGCCAGCTTGTCGCTGAAGAATGCCCCCCATCTTAAACTCTGTACAAATTCATGTGTTCTAAGTTCCAACTCAATTGAAACCATAGGAGACTTGGATATACTTTTCAATTTAGTTTCTTTTTTCTGTTTCAGTCCTCTCTAATAAATAGTGACATTATCTTTGTGAAGTTGCATGCCCCATGGGAAGTGCTCGGAAGATATGCAGAACAAATGAATGTAAGAATGCCTTTCAGGTAGGTGTAAAAGTATCCCCGCCTCCCCGTTCTCTCTGCTACTAATGTACTCCTCTCTCAAAACAAATAAAACTGAAATGCGGACTGGAACACTCTAAGAAAATCCTTTAAATGTTTAGGAAATGCAATAAGTACTTCCTGGCTAATAATGACTTGATGGCTTTTTGTGAAAATGTCTGGCTAATTCAGTCCTTAGAAGGGCAGATAGTTCACCTGCCTGTGAGAAAGAAATATTTTCCAAGTGGCATTTTCATCTCCAAAGTGCCATTTTAAGAAACCCTGTGTACTGCTGCTTTGAATGGCTAGACCCCAGGATCAGTGGTTCAGGTCCTTACTGACTGGTCCCTTCCAGAAAAAAATTAAAATCTACTTCCATTGAAACAAGCTCAAGAAATTTCAGGAAAATGTGATCTTATTTATTTTTTTTATCTTATTTTTTTAAATAACCTATTTTTAAATTTTAAAAAAATCAGGTCATAAATACTGCACAAACACAAGCATTGATATTTATTCCTAGGGCAATAGAAAACACTTTGCATGGATTTCTCAGTTATTTAAAAGGATTAATTTTCCTCCATCTTACAGTGAATATTCTTATTTTCCCTATAGATTAAGAAAAAGTGATCATTGGCTAGATGGAAATGAAATAAGCTATTAAATCTCAAATTATAAATGCCAAGATATGTGGAAATACGGGAACCTATTAAAGGGGGTGGAGGGGTGTAGTACCAAGGACAGTTCCGAAGGGACTAAAGAATTAAATACTTTTAGTTCACAATTTATGCATAAAGACCAAGTCAGTGGGCAGATATTAGACGAAGTGCCAATTCTAAAATATACCTCTTAATGAGCTGTGGAAAGTTATCGACACAAAGAACCCTCTACATTCTTAGAAACAGAGAGGAGCTAGGAACACATTTAGAGAAGGGCAATTTCCATTCATAGGCCTGTAATATATCTCCTTGGTGCACCTTATTTTCTTTGTTTATTGGTCTTTATGTCCTAATACCAATTTAAAATAGAGGCTGGATTTCTAGCATCTATTTTCCTTAAGGCAAAATTCCCGAAAGAATTGAGACAAACATAGTTCTAAACTTTTCAGTTATTTATCAACGTGAATTAATACTATATCACACGTAAGGACCAAAAATAAATCTATACTTAGATAGAGTCATATATCAGACCAACGTCTTATAGCCAACAGAGCTAAAAAGTCTACCTTTTCATAGTAGTAGTGGTTTCACAGTAGTAAAACCTAGTGAAACTGATACCCCCCTCCCCAGTAGCAATCTCATAAAACCTTTTGCCAGAACACACTTCTCAAGCACCGAACCTGAGCAGATTGTAGAAACATGAGCAATGTGGTACAAGGCAAATTCCCTTAGTACCTGGAAGCATTTCATCTCTGAAGGGCCTGGCTGTATCATAGATAATACCTCTGTGTGCTCATTACACAGCAGAAAAATGCTGCCTGCAAGCAGCATTAATACTTTCCTTATGCAGTATTCAGAGACTGTGATCCAGGCAATAAAATGAAAACCATAATAGCTATGAATAATAATCTTAAATGTAGGAATTCCTACAGGGCAATATTTTAGGAGGAAATACGGTTAATGTGTGGCCACTAATTGGCCTTATTAATATTGATGTGATTTTACCTAAGCATAGCTTCACTTGCTGCAACTTGGTGCATTTAAAATTTATGCTTTCATTTTGTCCGATGTTTTAGACAAATAACTCTAGCTTATTTGTCTATTTGTCTATGGAGACATATGTATTTCCAAAGCAGGAATTGTCCTGCCATGTCAGTTCAACAAAATGTTCACATGTCAATTTAGCTGACTATTTAAATGCCTCCAAGAATCTTTATTTATTATTTTCTGTAGACTGCACTGCTGAATCCCAGGTTTAGTCTCCTAGGATTTTTATTTCTCCAATGTTTAAAAGGAAGTTGAGTAATAGGTTTCTTATGGGAAGTTGTCAATAAAGCCTGCTTCTGCTAAATACCTGTATGTCCATGGATATGGGTTTTTTAAATAGACTGTTTTTAAAACAGTTTTAGGTTTACAGACAATTAAATAGGTAGTACAGAGTGTTCGCGTATACCTCCTCTCACCCTACTTATAGTTTCCTTATTATTAATATCTTGCATTAGTGTGGTATATTTGTTACAATTGATGGACCAATATTGGTACATTATTACTATCTAAAGTCCATAGTTCACTTTAGGGTTCACTTCTTGCCTTGTACAGTTCTATGAGTTTTGACAAATGCATAGTGTCAGGTACCCCCTATTATAGTATCATGCAGAATAGTTTCACTGCCCTTAAAATTCCCCTTTGCTCTGTCTATTCACCCCTTCTCCCCCCAACCCAAACCCCTGGCAGCCACTGATCTTTCTCTTGTCTCTATAGTTCGCCTGTTAACAACATGGGATATGTTTTTCTGTTTTCACAGATACGCAAAATAAATTTTGGTGTATAAACTTCCCATTCTCTCTAAGTGAGATATCTCAGTAACAGTTCAGAATCCATACAAACCGTATTCATTTCATTACCACCCCATTGGTTGAAGCCCAAACTATAGAAAGGGAGACTGCATTTTAATAAAGCATCTAATACATGTGCTCTCCATTCACACTACACCCAGAATTTACATTTGTAATGCTTTTTTGAAATGCAGGTATATAGAAGTACAACAGATCCTTAACAAGTCTGATTTTTAAAAAGATATTTTCCCAGGATTCCTTGGTTTATCTCTTGAATTCACCTATATGAGGGCCAGTGGTTAGGCAGTATGTTCTAGTGTGGTTATTCGCAGCAGGATGTTGATGCTTATTTGTTAGTGTCTTTCCCATACTTATTGTAAAATATAAATATGTATTTTTATATCACCCTTGCCTATATCAGATGAGAGAAGCATTCTCTAAACTTAAAGTGCTATATAAATATTAGTTAATGTAATCCTGTGCCCACTAAATTATGTATGTTGCCAGCAGGCTGGCAGTCCATCTCGGCATCCTGAAAAAAGAGCTGACCTCAGCCGAATTCCTATAAATACCAATTGCTCCAAATTATTGCTCTGCACAGGTTCTGTAGGTGAAGAGCAGCCATAAACAATGATGGTAACACGGAGAGGGGGCGATATCAATGGAAACGATTTCATATGATTTCATGACTCAAAAAATGCGTGCCCTCCATTCCCACTACGTTTCTCACTGTTAATCTCTTTTTAGTTTTTTCTTCTTCACCTCTTACAGGCTTCTATCTTCAATCTCCTTTCCTTCCTTGCTAGTTCAAACTGTAACTGACGATGGGTTTTCTTCTCGACTGGCTTCATTTTTGCTGTTCTTCCAGGAGAAAAATCTATTACCTGCCCCGCCGGTACAAGTTCATGAGCAGGTTAGTAGCATGTTCTGTCATGATGGCGTTTGTTTTAGCTGCCGGCCTGTGTGCTCCAACAGTGACAAGGAATACAAGCTGGGGAAGATGGGCCTTTGTCACATGGGAAAGCTGGCTGCCCTGCCAAAAATCGCTATTTTAGGTTAGGGAAATAGCCTAGGGGGAAAAAAAAAAAAGCAAAGATGGAAATGTTCTCTTAGAGTCTTCCCTGTGATTTCACACTTGGGAGGACAGAATTTATCTGCAGGTCTGTTGAGGCTGGGTTTGGGGTTTTTTTCTCCCCATTCTATTAGATGAATTACCAGAAAGGCCCGCTGTTTAGAAAGCATCTTTGGTCTGAATGTTACTTTTTTTCCCCACACAGACTCCTCCCTCTGCTATAAGTAACTTGCGATCTAAGTGCAGACAATCACCCTCTCAAAAAGCAGATGGCTTCTTGGCCCTCTGGGTGGGGTCCGCCTATGTTAGTAGTAGTTTGTTAATAAAGTAGGCAGATGTATGACCTTATTCAGAAGCCCTCCTACCCTCTTTTTACCCCTCCTCCCAAAAAATACTGCTGGATGAAGATGGCCTTTACTGTGCTATGAATCCTTCCTAAGCTTGTTTCTCCTTGTTTTTTGAGAAGCCAGGGATGAAGGGGAGGCGTCAGTGATGTCCTTTAATTTGACTCTGTGGTGATCACTGGCATTCTAATTTCAAGCTTTGAATTGGTCTTATGTAACCATTCACCCTGAGCTGAGCTGATAGTTAAACTTGGATACCATTGCATTTGTCTGAAAATCTTAGAGTTCAGTTCTGTGAGATTTAAGATTCCTATTCACGCTGTTTATGTGCTATGCAGAAGGATAAGTAGAAGAGAGTAGTTGATATATTTTAGTGAGTTACTCAAATACACGTGCACTCAACAAAGTATGACATGAGAATGGGCTTTTAAAGAAACTAAGACGTGGTTTCCAAAAATTTCCCTGAGCAGCATCCCTATTAGCAATCCTTCTTTCATCAGGCAGTTGCCATGGCATTTGGATTCACCACAATGAGACGAATCCCTTTTCACATAATGACCTTCTACAAAAACTTGGTGCACACTTTAGCCTATTTCAGTAGTTCTCAAACTTTAGCCGGCATCAGAATCACCTGGAGGGCTTATTAAAACACAGATTACTGGGCCTGTGCTGTAATCTGCGATGTAGATGTCCAACTCTCCACCTGGAAGCTATATGAAGGCAAGGATGGCTCATCCAATTCTTTGTTTCCAGCACCTAGCATGTAGTAGGTGGGGCAAATGAATGAATGAATCTCCATACACAGGTGTGAGAATTTGCTTGGGGGAAAAGGAGACCACAAAGAAAAGTATAGAAAAACCAGGACTGCCTGAAGTGTCAGACATAGACTGGGGACTGAAGAGGTGAGGGCTTGAAAGAAAATGGTGATAAAAAGACCCATATAATCTCGGGGTTGGAGGGATATCAAATGTCATCAAGTCTAACCACTCATCGGCTACTTGAACCTCTGCTATATCATCAGGCAGCCTGTGTTTGAACATCTCTGGAGACAGCGTATTCCTGAACCCATCTGTGAACACCTGACTTAGAAAGTGCTTCCTTAAAATAAGTCATAATCTCTCTCTCTTTAGCTTTCACTCTAAAACACTCAGACTGTAGTTCCCCCTGAAGAGCCAAAAGATAGTCTGCAAAGTAAACAGCAAAATATATGAGAAAGATTGTGAAATTATAGGCAAAAGGACTTAGCAGGTATTTGGAGAACAAGAGATGGTGGCGGACAGAAAGGGGTTTTCATATTAAGGGATCGGGAGGCAAAAGAAGAGTAGAAATTCAGAGAGACACAGGTGTGGTAAGGAAGGTGGTGAATTTTGTTTTAATAATTCCACATTGACTCACAGTAGGTCTTTTTTGAAACTGATGGCACAGCAGTTGAAGCTAGAGGTAAAGCTAGAGAACCCAGAGCCATAGAGGTCATGACCTTAGCCAGGGGAGTAGATGGAATTTCCCAGGAAATGATGCAGGGAGTGAAGAGAAGAGGGCCAGTAGCAATTGCTCAGAAGGTCTGCTTTAAGGAGACAGAAGAGGTGGGGGAGGATGAAGAGGAACAATTTAAGAAGTAGGAAGAGAACTAAGGGAGTGCAGTGTCAAAGGCACCACGTATGAGTTCCCATAGGAAGGGGTGTTCTTCAGCTACTGATGGAGGATGAGAGATGAGAATTGATTTTTGGTCACCATGGTAACCACCGTGCTGGCAGTCTCCATGGAGTGGTGGTTCTCAAGCTTTAGCGTGCGTCAGGGTCACCTGCAGGGCTTTTTAATACTCATGTTGCTGGGCCCATCCCCACAGGTGAGGCTCAAGAATTTGCACTTGTATCAAGATCCCAAGTGATGTTGATGTCGCTGGTCTGGAACTAGTACATCTTGAGAATGATGACTACGGAGTAGAGGGTAATAGAAACCAAATTACAGCTGGTGGAGAATGGACAGGGTCCTGATGAATCAGAGGCAGTGAGGGGTCACTACTACCTTAGAACAGGAGCAAGAGGAGGAAAGCAGAGGAGGCTGTGACCATGTGACTCATCATATGTACTCCACGTGTATAGAAGGGAGGCTGGGAGTGAATAAGAGCTGGGGAAATCTTTGTTTCTGGAACTGGAAGAACAGCTTACTGAACACTAATTTTTGGCCTGAAAAAGTTGATGCTATTTCCTTAGTAGAGAATGGACTTGAGGACACGGGTCGGGGGAAGGGTAAGCTGGGACGAAGTGAGAGAGTGGCATGGACTTATATACACTACCAAATGTAAAATAGCTAGCTAGTGGGAAGCAGCCGCATAGCACAGGGAGATCAGCTCGGTGCTTTGTGACCACCTAGAGGGGTGGGATAGGGAGGGTGGGAGGGAGACGCAAGAGGGAGGGGATATGGGGATATATGTATCTGTATAGCTGATTCACTTTGTTATAAAGCAGAAACTAACACACCATGGTAAAGCAATTATACTCCAATAAAGATGTTAAAAAAAAAAAATGTTGATACTACTTAAGTGCACACATTACAACTGTAGAAAAATCTAGGCCTTAGGAGGCACCGGAAGACTCTGGGTCAAAACAAAGGGGAAAAATGTCTGAACTATGGTTTTATGCCACACTGATTCCGAATGAGCTCTTAAGCTTTACTGCTTACCACACAGGATTAAATCTGGGACATCAGTTTGGTGGTATAACTTATTGAAGCCCAGTGTCTGGTGCAAAGTTTTAAATGCAGTTTGTCAGAAAATTTTGTATCTACTTTTAACTCTTCACTTCACCTCAGAACAGCCTGATTTAGGTGATGAAGAGTGTGTGTCTCTTTGTAGCCAGGGATGACATTACAAATTGAAGGGCACATCTATAACTTGCTATCCTAGTTGTGTACATCAGTAGTAAAATATTGACTTCCAGTATTCTAAAGTTCTCATGTCATGCTCTGTGTATGGATATTTAATTTAGCTTTTAGTTTCATTCTTACAAACGATATTTCACTTCATTAATCTGTGAAAGCACCCTTGAAACAAACCTACCTCCCTTCAGGATAAGAGAAATGAATTAGAAATTGTGAAGTTTCTGAGCAGGCAGAAAAATAGAGCGTCATCTCACAAAGATCTTTATTTATGAAAGGTCACCTGACGTCATAAAGCACACTCATGTAATTCAGATATGTATTTCTGGAGTAAATGCTCTTTTCATTCACATACTTGGTCTATTAACACTTACCTTTGGGCAGACTTACAGGTATTACAAATTACCTATCCAGTCAGGAAAGGAAATTTATCATCGTTCTTCTGCCTTATTATTATTTTTTTTTTGCCTTCACCAAATCGTACAAATATAATCTGCAGAAGATATGCTTACAAAGTAATAAATCTGTTGACTGTGGGTGGCTTGTAGCTGCTGTCTCATTACTACTCATTCTTTTTTCCTCCACGCCCCCATATACATCCTGCCTGATGTTCTCCTTTGCGATGCTTGGCAGAATGAATGCTGGTCCCTACTGCATTATACACTCAGTGCCATCATAATCTCATCAGATGAGTATACAGGCAACATGACAAAATGGCTTGGATGTTTCCGTCCTCGTCTTAAACAAATTAACATACGTAAATGTTCCAAACCCTTTGGACTCTTCTAAGCTGTGCCCCAGTTAGCAGCCTTGTGACCTAAAAGAATGGCAGTAGCTTCCCAAGATCCCTAACTATCCAAGGAGAGGCTGCAAATACAGGGTACTTGGCTCTGAGAAGAGGAAAAAGAAATACAAGCCTCCTGTTGTCTGTTATCCATCCAGGAGGGCTTCATTTCCTGCAATGTAAGCCTGTGTATGGTGCCTCCATTAAATTAAAAAAAAAAACCAAAACACTCATCTGTAGGTGCTCTCTGGGCATATTATCTCTGAAAATGTAGTCTAACTGTTCGAAACCTAATGCTATTATTATAATATTCTGGCCTGGGGAAAAGCAGGTGTCTGTGAAATAGCCTGTTTCATTTAATTCAGGCTAATTAAGTTGTGATTGGTACAAACTCCCTCCTGGGTCGTTAGTGGCTCCAGGGAAAGGCCCTTGTTTTCTGCTTCTTCAGGGTATACCCTCAGCATCCAGGTGGGGACTCTGTGCACAGCCGGTGATTTATAAAAGCCTGCAGACAGGTTAGCCTGTTAGGGGTGAAGTCCTTTGCATGTGGCCTTTTCTGTGATCATCACCACTCCTGAAGGTGGGTAAGATTGTCTCCCCTTTACAACTGAGATAACTTGACCTTTACAACTGAGGTCAAGTAGTTTTTAACAAGGACCTTCCCAAGGCATATTTCCAAGGCACACCCTGGAAAGGCACAGCCTGAAAGAAGTGGCAGGTCTGTGCCCATTTGTCTGTGCTTGTGCTGTGCTGGCAGCTCTTTCCAGCTATGCAGAACCTCACCTGTCATGAACCGGCATTTGGTCAAGGACCCTGAACTTACCATCAGAACAACT